AGAAAGTTGAGGATTTGTGGAAAAATGCTCTAGTTTCATTTTTATAAATCCCATTTACTTCTTTTCAAGCATGTGTAAATGATTTTTCCTGATATGTGTATTTCAAAAGCGACTTCTTTTTTAGATTTTATCTTAAAACGATTTGATTAATTTATTATATTTCAAACAATCATTGACCTTAAAGTGTAGATAGATTCTTATGAACACAAAAAAAATGCTGTGGTTCTGACCAGGTATTCCTACGTTTGGAAAAGGAACCAATTTTTTTATATTTACAAGATTGCCTTTTCTGATTTTAGTTAGTGTGTGAAGTTTTTCTTCTTGGTGCTTTTTTTTTAGATACTCAACCAAGAGGACCGGGGTGGCCGAGCGGGCTAACGCGTGTGTACAGCATCGCGCGTTGCCCGGCAACCTCATAACCGAAGTTAAAGTTGGAAAAATTAAAGTTAAAACCCGGTGGCCGGTGGGAACTTTTAACTCGGCATAATTCTCCCCGCTCTCCCCCTAGCCCGAGAGAAACCCGTATAACCTAAAAGGTTAGGAAGGAAAGAACATAAAAAAATGATAATCAAGCGAAGACTCTCAAATAATAATTTTGTCTATTCTCCATAGATTATCCAGTCCCATAATGCATTGGCTTAAGCTATGTAAGTTTATTCTAGACTTGCGTCCGTTAGGGAAAGAGAACTTTCAAACTTTGTTTCCTTTTTTTTGTTTCGCCGTTGTATGGTTTTAATTTGAGCATAACTCACTCAGAACCAATTAAGTATTCACAGAAATCTTCACTTTTCAGCAGGAAATATTTTTTTCGCCCACTTTTTATAGTAGGGGAATGAAAGAGTATCACGGGCCTAAATAGTTATTTTGAATTCTCCACAAGTTATATAATCTGGAATTCCGCCGCCAGTTACTCTAAATGCCCCTAATGAGGTGCTATAAACCAAAGCAGGCCATTATAAACACCTTCTTTATCTGTTGAATTTTTATTGGTCAACCTTTCGCTAGCGAATAAGTCGATACACTTTCCATTCCCTCAATTATTTCGCACTCGATACTATTACATAGTTGCATAATATATTCATAGTTTATCTCATTGAGCCTACATTGATGAATATAGGCTATTGCATTGATACTGCATGAAATAATTTCGTATCCGCTTAATAGAGGAAATGATATCCGGAAACTTTCGAAGGAAGTGTTCGGAAATGTCTCGGTTCAGAACGGTGTGGGTTCGGTTTCGCGGTGATTCTGGTCATTCCCACTTTGGTTCGAAAGGGGCCCTATTCAAGTAGCTTTCAAAGAGCTGTATGTGGCAAGGACCAAAAGCCACACTTAGTGGAATAATTCCTACACCAATATCAGTACCGCTAGCAGTTTAGGCTTGACGGTCAGAAATGGTTTGATTTTATTCATATGAGGCGATATTTTTAAACATTAGAAAACCAATATTGTTGTAAGTATAAGAACATTTTTCCCTTTAACAAAAATAGGCCGATTAGAATCAGATTACGTGGTCAAAAACAACCATTTCTATGGGGTACACAAGAACTTATATTTTAAGGTCAATGATCTCATTGAAATCTAATAAATAAATCGGATGATGATAAAAGCATGTGCGGATCCAGTATTTGTTTTTAGGAGGTAAAGGGCGGAAAAATAAGACTCTTCCTTAGGTTCAAGGTCCATTCTAATATGAACTATACGAAAACCATTTAAAGAAAACGAAGACCTCCAATTAATAACGAGTTTTATTGCAGAACGCTTTAAGTTTGAAGTTAAAGTAAAGTTCTTTATGTAGTACGAGTCTTTAAACATCGAAACGGTATTTTTACACAACTTTTTCCTCACCGTTAAATGAGAATAGATGAAGGAGTGTTGACCCGTGGGCTATCGTTAGGCAGTAGAAAGGGGTGTTGTCCTCTGTACGTGAGCGACTCGTTGGCCACTAATTTTGGAAAAGGACCCTTCCTGGATCTGATACCTCGGATGATTTACCGCCTAGGCCCTTACACCATTATCTCCAACAAAACCTGCTTCCAGGCGACGTACGCGACACTTGTAAAATAATTTAGCCCGAGAAAAAAAAAAGTAAGAAAAGAAAAGCCAGCGTGAAGATACTGGCGATATTCTTTGTTTTATAAAAACCGCCGCTATAATGGCTCGTGTGGATCTGAACGTGCTGATTGAAAGTGATTAGAATTTTCATCATCTCTCCTTTTTATCGATTAGAGTATTATTGTTGTACTGTATTATTTGTATAAAGGCATATCATGTAAAAATAATATATTTAATATTATGTATGTGAGCCACAGTAAAGATCTAAGTACCCAATCATGCTATTTTCATTATTTTTTTTTAAATGGCTAGAAGATCGAATTTTACTCAATAACCCAATGAGTTTTTGTCGCCCAATGAGTTGTACAAAGATTTTAACGTGCACTCTTTGGCATTTTATGCCTCTAGATCGGGCATGGATATGTCCTTCAATAGGTTAGATGTCTTCCTAAATGTCGTTTCGATTTTTTAACCTTTCCAACTGTCATGCTTTTCTTCGGACTTACTAACAGATTTACGATGAACGCTGGATGAAGTCTGTTAGTAACGGCCCCTTAATCTCTTAGTATCCTTACCTATAAATGTAAAAGTTTTAGTAATAACTCTCACTGCTTTATATGGAACATTATTAACGACTCGTTTAGTTATAATTTACGTATCGCTCATTTTCTGCATGATGTTAAGTAAAGGATCATTTATAAGCTTTGAAGACCTGTTGTGGCTGTATTTCGTTCTTGTATTATATTACATTACATATTAAAACAGAATTTACAACTGAATGAATCTTCTAAACATCGTAAATATCGAACTATGACTTGGCTGCAGCAAATGATGGTTATTTTTGAGAAGCTTAGTTCAATTACCTGAAGGTTCAATATCCGTACGACCAACATGAATTCTTTCTCTGAACACTGCTAAAACTCCAATCTGCAAGGTCATGCACAATTCTTATCTTATGTCTTATCAGTAAATGTCAGAAGAAAAGATAATCAAATACAAGGATTCTACATTCTCCGTACGAATGAAATTGCACTAACAGGTGCATAGGATGGAGCTGCCTTCCCTCAGGTTGCTCCATTCTTTTTCCCCAGGAGGCCAGCGATTTCAATAAATAACTGTACGCCGAAGATGAAATGGTGCCCACTCACATCATGATCCAGGTGAGGCCTACAATATAATGAACAACAAGCTGTTCTCTTTGACTCAGGAAGCAGATCTGTACAAATCCCGTCGAATTAATGGTCAGATGGTCTCAGGAAAGAACATTCACAATTTCATTTCATACCTAACCAAATGAAGTAAGATCGGAGGAAAAAATAAAATATGAAGTAAATTTAATTATAGTTATATTGCCATCAGTCAGGGCGAGGATTTTTTAACTTGATCTGCATTTCACATTTTCCCTTTTAATCATGTGATTAAACAAATATAACTTCACGTTATATAAAATTAATACATAATTTTTTATGAGTTTTTTTCATTTTTTATTACCGATAGTTTGGTTTTAACAATTTATTTATTTTTTGTATGTCGATAGAAATATTGTTTGAAATTGTTGAACAAACTGGAACAACACTGTTGCATTGAACTATGATGCCTAACCTGCTCTCCCTTCATCAATTATTTTTTCTAATGTTTGTTTAGTTAGTGTAGTTTCTATTATGTTAACATTTTTGTGTCATACAAATCTCTTTGATCTAATTATTTGTATTGATTTGTGCTAGAATATTTTGAATTCTGATTTCTTGGAGTATGAGCTGAATATTGCCATGTTTGACTTGTTTATTGATTGAGTTAAGAACTTAGAACATGACATCTTGTTCAAAATTATATATTACCAAATATTCTATCTAAGTGATTAAAATAGCGTGTTTTGAATTGAATATTAAAGGAAGTGTTATCATATGCCTGGTAGTTGATTCAACCAATTTCATAAATATCAAAGAATTTAAAATTCATTTACTGTTTGATTATGACTTTATTATTAAGAAATATATGATCATAAACGCATCAAATAAGAGAGATTAGTTTTCCAACAAGGATTTTTAAAAATGATATATTACTTTTGGAAAAGTTTTGTCAAACTGCAAAAAATTATTAGTTTTCTCAGAATGTTGCCATTTTAATGAATATAATCACTATTTGAACAAAACTCAATTATTAAGAACAACAAGAGAGATAGTTTTATTTAATTTTACAATGTTGAAACATTGATAGTTTGAATCTGTGAGTAGTTTGTGGATGGTTAATATCTAATTATATAAGTTATGAGAACAATAATAATTTAATATATTAACCTGAAAGTCACTAAAGAAGTGTTGAAAAAACGATCTAGATCAGAGTGATAATTTCTATTCTTGTGTATTTATAAATTCAAATCAACTCATTCATTTTGCTTTTAATTTCTTGATATAGTATGAAAATATTTTCACTTAGACATAGATACAACTCTTCTTGTGGTATTGAAAGTGAATCGAATACATATATATTTTACAGTATTGACAATTATGGCTGAGTTTGAAGATTTCCAAATGGTTTCTTGAAGTATTTTTATTATTGAGGTATATCAAGTTACTCTGCATTCCAAAAGTTATGGAAAAATCAAATGGTAATTTTTAATAGATTCTTGAAGATTCATTATTTTATGTTGCAGAATCTTGATGTTTGATCGTGGAGGATATTTTACAATTACCAATAAGTACTTATTACAATAATTAACAATACTTAAATATGTGATAAATACCTCTTATCGCATATCCATACTTTCCTTTAACTATCTGTTTACTTGAATTGTAACAGAATGAAATTGATACCAATAAGAAAAAGCTTAAATATTTAGTTATTTCATTCACTTAGACAATATCTATGAGTTAGTAACTTATTAAACTGATACTATAATGATTTTATTCTAATTTGAAATAAATATCTTTATATAGATATTGTTAATGACTGCTATTACATTTTTAAATTTATTAACCACATGGTTCCTATTAAATATTTTTATTTTAACTTTAATTGCTTTGTCGATAAAGATTATTAGTTTCAGGAAAATGTCAATTTTACATAATCTTTCAAGCTATCTTATTTTACTTTCATATAAACTCAGGTAAGCTAAATTCTATCTTAGTGTCAGTATTTGTACTATAATTAACATATTTTTTCAAGGTTCCTCAATAATATGTTTTGAGTTCTTATACCAATTACATTATTTTCCTGTACTGTATTTTACTGATTTACCTTCAAATGCTGTATCTCCAATGATTAAGTGTTTAAGTTATGACAACAAACAGCTATATTCATCTGTTTATTGCTAATGTTGACTTTATATTTCGAATAAATGTATCAACATCACTAATAAGAGCGGTGCGGAGTTATTGCAATGTACAATAATTGATGTAACTAAGGCTCCACATTTATATACATTTGATGTGCTCCTTTGAGTTGTTAAAATAAGGGACTTCATTGCTTACCATGTTTAAGTATTATTATTTAGATTGTTTAAAAACAAAACATAATACCTAAGTTACTTTTCACTCATTGCCTAATTGCTTATCATAGTTATAAATAAATAACAGGATTGTTTTATTTATATTTTTCTAAAGACATTTAGTTTCATTGATAATCAAGCATATTCAATTTCATAATCATATTGTGACATTTTAATTTAATTTTTAATGATGAATACAAGTAAAAATGAGCTGGTGAAATCTCTAATGGTAGATTAGAATTTGAGTGGTAAATCAAGATAATTTATTCTCTTCAGTTGAATATCATTCGAGGTAAACATTAATTGAAAATACAAAGAAACAAACAAATTATTTTATTTTCTAAATTGCATTAGCCAATGTTCCAGCCATATTTTGCATACCTACATGGCACATCTGATGCAATACGTTTAAGAGATGAAAATGAGGCCGAAATAATATCCTAAATTGAAAGATGAGATTATATTATAGGCAAATTGTGATGTGGTTCTGATAAATGTATAAAAGCTCAAGTTTTTTTCTTCCAGAAACTAAATAATTTATCGACTATAATTTAAACAAAATACTCCTTACCGCCAATTGACGTATTTTCAGAATTTCGATTTCTTTCTTTCGACACAAGTTTTACAAAATTAATTTATTCTTTTTATACAATAGTTTATATAAATCAAACTTAGTTTTAACAAAAATGTATTCTGTCCCATATTTTATTTATTTATTTTTTATCAACAATAATTTTGACAAAATTTAAATAAAAGAAGAGATTGATCTATATTATGCATGGTATTTAATATGCTCAAACCTAAATTAATGGTCTTAGAAAACACTGAAGTTTTCGAGTAACCTTTTGTCGATATATTCTATTTTCACCCTAAATGTGTTTTTAATATTTTTATCTAACCCAAAATATTGGTCTTATATCAATCGATTGGTCAAAAGTTAACTTTATTTTGGTTTGATTATGTTTTATTCTCAATAAAATCTCACTCACATTTTTAATATTTGTTTTAGCAATTTTATATTGAAAATACCTGAACCAAGAGATGGTTTTTTTCTGTAAAAAAATAGTGAGCATTAGTCCAAATTAAAAACCAGCTCTAATTCATGTTTATATATTTTTTGAATTGGTGTCTTTATTCTAAATACCATAGATTTTTCTTCATCTTGATGTCTGACAAGATTTCCTATGTCATTGTATGTCTGATCAGATTATATCTTTATTTTTATTTAATTTGATTGCATAATTGCGTTGAGTTTACCAATCTTAACCTGTATGATATTAATTCTCCCCTCTCTCAAAGTATAAAAGTGTTGTTCATTTTAATGAATCGCATATTTCATGGCTATTGATAAAATACTTGCATTATTTATTCATGGTTAACCACAAGTAGAAATAATTTATTATATTTTGGTTGTTGAACTAAATATAGCATTATGTTTAATTATATTAATTTTACAAATATTAGTTAATTTAGTAGGTATGTGAAGTTTTGGGGCTGGTTAAAAAACGAGTTACTTAGTAATTAATTTTCAAGATAGTTGTTGGATAATTTTGTTTAGTCCAATTGTGTGTACTTAGATTTTTACCGGCATAATTAAAAAAGGTGAGGTAAGTACTTTAGAAATAACTTATGGTGGTGTAAGAAATGAACCTTCAAATTTTTCACATCATATTATTTATCATTAATAACTAAAGTAAGAATAAAAAATTATTAATTAATAATCATAACAAATAATGAGCTCCATACAAATAAAATGAGTAAACGTAAATAAGCATACTACATAAATTAAATCAAATGAATTGAAAGCAATGAATGTTTAATTTTTTTTCAGAAACTTTAGTCATTGATGTACAGATTCTTAGTAAACTAATTGTTTTCTGTGCTAGAGGTGATCCATTTCAATATATGTATTTTACATTTAAAGTATTTAAAAAAAAAATTGAAGTTTGATAATAATTTTGAAATTAAAATTCCAGTTAGAAAAACAGCGGTTTAAATAATTTAGCTATCGTGAAGTGTGGAGCTTACTTGGCATATTGTACAATGTGTACCAAATGTACTATTTTATATTTCAGCGATTTCGTAACGGTATAGCCCAATTTTTTCTGGATCTATTGCTGCTCTATAGTTATGGTTATGAATATTCCTATAACAATAGATTATATCTTCATTTATGACAGTAATATATGCGGTCATTGTAGGATTTATAAAAATATCTGCAGAATTGTAGGATAGACTTGATATCAGTTGAAAATCTGCTTTATGTTTGATTTTTGGTTGCTATGGATCAACGTCCAGCAAAAGTTTCTTTGATAACATTTTAAAATTTAAAGAACTATTTAAATAATGAACTTTAGCAAATTACTCACACATGAAGTAATTACAACATTTAGTGCATGTTTTTTTCTCTTAGAAAGCTACTTTCTCAACTAAAGTGACATTTATAAAACAAGATTTTTTTTTCATCACTAGCCATGGGCCTGCGGCGCGGAATTTAATCGAGTTCTCAATGTGGAGAAAAAAGAGATCCATGCTTTATATTGTTCATATGAGATGGTTTTGTCTTGCACATAAAACTTACTGAAAAGGATGACCTTTCCGTCTAACATAGTTAAACCTGGTCTATTAATTACCTAATTTGTATAAATATTGTATTAACAGTGGGCTCCGTTAATGCGACAATGCCAATTTTTGTCACGCTTTCGATTTCTCGTAATTATATCGGTAATTTTTCTTTGATGTTTCCAAATTTAGACTTTCTCCTTCAGGTCTGGTAGAAGCTGATTTTGAATTCTTCTGGTACACTGAGGAATGTCTTGAAGTCAATTGTAACAGTACAATTGACGTTAAAAATGAACTGGCATGTGTGATATTTTTGTTCGTAAATATTTGTTTTTCTTCACTTAGGCCTGAAGTGCCAACGCGATCCATTTATAAAAGAAATATGAATGCCAGTCGTATCACTTCCAATTATTCTTGTTCAACGGTTTGTTATGTTCTTGTCACCGTTCGTTCAGGTAAAGATTGCTTGTTTATCTTGTTGTAATGTCCATTACTTCTATTCCATTCGGGTAAAAATTGTTTACTTTCACTTGCGTATATATGTAATGTATAGTACGGGTAAGTATAGCGATCTTGAAAATTTTTGAATCTGAGTTTTAACGGAAATAGACTAAGTACCTATATGAAATGGCGTTTAAGTGATTCCTAAAGTCCTTTTAAATGTAATTAATTACACGAACAATAATACTTTAAGTGATAATTTTTTAATATTTTTTCCATAAAACATGGTTATATTGTACCATTTGAAGGGTAACTGTATTTCGGAAACGGCTTCTCCCTGAGATTTTATTCTTTTACGAAAAAATGTATACCTGGTAATATAGGTATATTTTAGCCAATGAAAACGATGAGGAAGCTATACTGACCTTACTTGGCAGACGTTTTTTATATTCTTATAAGCTTCCTTGTCACGTTTTGTTAAAACGAGACCGATAAGTTGAAATGATATTTCATCAATTTCAATTTCAATTATGTTACCCTAGGTCAAATTAATTAATTTATTCTTTATAATTAACCAACATTATTTATTCGCCTCAATAACATTTACTCTGGATCTGCATTCTACGTTGTAAAGCAGTCTAATTCTTCAGTTGACTTATCATTCGTTCTAAATGTTTTGCCCTGTACTTGATTTTCAAAATTCCTAATATATTTGTTTCCCTTTCATGTTTGCGACCAGTTTTCAGATCCGTAAATAGTAAAGGGGGATGAATAACAGTTTTGTAAATTGTAACTTTTGGGATTGAAAGGTCGAGCTAAGTTATTTCTAACTTATAAAAACTAAGAAAGTATTCTTCGTCTTTAATTTAGTCTTATTACTCTCTTCGATTTTTATTTATTTTTTGTGGTTACCTAAAGTACTCTTAGTGGTCCGTATTATATCACCGAAATCGTCGGCCGTCTGAAGCTACCCATAAATAAAAATATCATGGATTGTAGATATTCAGGACACAGTCATACAATTTATTTATTTGTGCCGACGTTTCAACCCAAACATGTGGGTCATCATCAGGGCGTGGCTCGAGCACTGAAGAGTTTTCAAGTACTGAACTGAGTACTTGGTAGGAAGTGCTGGTTCGAATTTAATGAAATTGATATGGGACCATCTAGAAACCACCCGCTCAATTCCTGAAAATTTCATGAAAATCGGACAAACGGTAGTAGGTGATATACCCGTTACATCGATTTGATTACAGACAGACAGACACCGAACCAAATTTGATCCTTGATGTCTGAAACGTAAAACGCGAGTGAAAATACATACATTTTTTTTAATCTCCCAATAAATAAATATTGATGACTGCGTCCTGAATATTTATCACCCATGATATGTAGATCTTGAACAGTCAACTGGCTTCCTTCAATAATAAATAACAATAGGCCAATATCAAATAGCAAATTATGCTAACTAAGGATGGTGTCTGTTATAATATTTAATTAGAGGCCTTGTCTTGAAAAAAAAAAAGAAAAAAAGGGAGTTTTTGACAACATTCAGGACATTTATAAAATCTTTTGTTATTAGATTTAAAATAAAATAAAAAAATATTTGGAATATTAAATTTAAAAAATAAACTTAGTAGTTAAGTGAACAAAAAGAACTTTTGATAAGTAGAAATAGTAATAATACACTGTTGATTTCTTTTCGTTGAAAATCTCAATGTTTTTCTCCGGTAGAATTTGAAAGGATCTTTACAGGTAAAGTAATAATTAAAATATTTTTGTTCAAACCATTATTTGGCAAAAGAAGAATGTTTTCCCATATTAATACTCTGAAGAAAATATTTTTTGCAGTCTGTCCATGATAAATAAAATGTTAAGTATTAAAATATTAACATTGACATTTTTAATATTAAAAAAATAATTAAATACTGATAATAAAAGTAATCAGTGTAATCCATCCCCTATATTTGAACAATGAGCGATTCATTTGTTCAGGGTCTGGTTAAATTATTTTATTTCTTGATAATGTTATGTTAATGTATTATTAATCCGCTCAATAGGTATATATTTAATGGTAGTTGTTCATTGGTTTACGGACCCTTAAGCGATCAAAATAAAGTTTGAAATGTGGTTTTATAATACTTATGGTCCATATATTCTAAAATCCAGATTGTGAGGTCAAGATTAATGTCTAATTTTGCCAATAAAATTAAACAGATCCAAATTGAGATGCTATTCGGCCAATAAATCCAGAAATGAAATGAGTTTTACAGAAATTATTTAATATTTTTTCAAACCTACTTCATGAAGTTGAGATATTGTTTATTGTTCTGTTTTTTGATCCGACTTCTTTTCTTTATTTAATATACAGTTCATTAAATGGGTGATAAATATTCAGGAAGCAGTCATAAAGTTTTCACTAGTGCCAACGTTTCAACCTAAACATGTGGGTCATCATCAGGGCGCGTTTCAGTACTTGAACACCCTCAGTGCTCGAAACACGCCCTGATGATGACCCACATGTTTGAGTTGAAACGTCGGCACTAATAAAAACTTTATAATGACTGCGTCCTGAATATTTATCACCCATGATATGTAGAACAGATTAACTTCCTTCAAAATTTAATTTTATATTATGAATATTATCGTTATGCAGCTAAGTCTTTTTTTAGTAGTATTTTTTTACTCTATGGCTTATAATAGGAAAAACCTGAACTTCCTTTACGGAAAAAATGAAACAAAAACATTAGTTAATTATTTATATAAATTTAACGACAGCTCCGCTACAATATGCAGTTAGTGCAAAAACGAAAATTGTTCATGAGGTTAAATAAAACGCGTATTTCTTATTTCATAAACTGGATTTTCCATTTAATTTTTACTGTGTACAAATATAAGACAAACGCATTTTTTTTTCTTTTTTTTTATAAAATTATGCTTACTGGCTATTGCAGTGTAGCTCTCGATGAACTGTTTTTAAAAGGTTTAGGATCCTAAGTAGAGTTGACAATTTTTATCAAGCCAATTGTAAAAATATGGATAAATGGAAGTTAAACAATATTACTTTAAAAAAATATTAAATATTTTTGTAGTCTTCTTGATTTTCAGTTATTCATGTTTTCATTATGCATATGTTTACGATTCTCTTGAATTTAAATATGAATGATCCTTTTCTTTTCGTTAACATTTCGCGGCGAGATTGAATTACCAAATTCTTGATCCAACAGAACATATATTAAACTACGTGATTATTATTTATTCTTGTTGACCACTTAAAAATGTAAAGGTTAATAACTCTCTTCTTGTTGGAGGTCGAGGTTGGGATATTTGCGTAAAAAAACTCTATTAAAAAAGGGAAAAAAATTTTAAATCTTCTCCATTGTGATGGCAAATTTATCACCCAATGTTGAAGAAGCCTCATGATTTACCTTACCGGAACCGAGAGCTTTCTTTGGATAATCTCGTCTTCTTTTCTTCAGATATTAAAGCTCTGTGGGTTTATCTATATTTCCCTCGAGCAATGCTCTTTCTTTTGCTTATAAATATTTTTAAATTCAACTAAAAACATATAGCTGTGTTACTTCTTTAGCTTCTAAACAAAATCTTCCATGTTGAACTAATTTATTATTATCTGATGAATTTCTTTCTTTCTTTTTTTTTTTTTTTAAAGTGAGCATTTGTTGTCTTTGACTGTTTTAAGTGTTTACAATTTATTTTTCCTTCGTTCTCAATGAAGTTTATATTCAAATAAAATGGTAAAACATTAGATTGGTAATTTTAAAATACCCATAGTAGGTATCGAAGATAAAAATAAGTGAACTGTATTTGTACAGTTATTTGGTGAATCGATAGCTTGAATTTAGTAGAATAATAAGGAATAATTAAGAAGATTGTTTATAAATTATCTCCTAATTTATTTAACAAGGTAATAATTTATCTGCAATTTTTCAGATATAATTTTTCATAGTTATAATTTTCTATTAAATGTGGTTTAATTGGTGTGTTGGTATGTGGTATGCGGTAGTGTTGAGTCGGTGTGACAAAAATTCGAACGTGAAAGGTTCACGACGTAGCTGTCGCAAAACGATTTTTGCTAAATCACCCTGACCTCACAAATATTTATCTTAATTGGAGGAACCCTTAGTCTTCTATCGGTTTCCAACTTCCTGAAGAAGTCGAGGTGTTGATAATTTGACGGAATGGAAGTTGGAAAAGTAAGCTGATATCCTTACTTTTCGTAGCGTTCCACTTAAATTTTTTTTTTTTTTTAATATAAATTAAGTTAAAAATAAAAAAAAAATTTCCAGTCGTTCACAATATGATTGTAATTTCTTTCTAACTACGTGATTTTTCTTTTGCAGTTTTAGTTTGCTTTTCGTTGTACTACAGACCAGAAATAAAATCTAGCGAAAAGCGGGGTGAAGGGGGTGAAGAGAGGAGGCAATTACAATTGAGTATTCTCTACTTTTGATCTTAATATTATTGTTATTTTACTCAATCATAATATTTCATTATAAATTTTGCCATAGAGCATTTTAAAAACAATTTCACATAAGATATACTGTGAGTCCATATTATTTATTTTTATGTTTGTCGGTATTAATAAAGTTTCAATTTGAAGAGAAAAAAAACACGTATCTTTTTCTTAATCCTACCTACTCCTTAGGAAACTTTCGTTGATTCTAATTTTGCACTGCATGATTATAAAATATTTCATTGTAAGTTTTAACTTACTATATATCTTCATAAAGTCTTGGCAACGAAGCTCCTGCACAGTGAGTCGTATATTAATTTTTAAAAAAGAGGCTCGAATGGAATAAGTTTCTATAATGAAATTTTAAGTGTACTTTTAGGGTTATATGATAACACAAAAAAAAATGATTTTACAAAATTTTGATATGACTTTTAACTTCAGTCGCAGTTACTTTTGCATACATTATAATTATCTTCTTATAATAGGAGAATGGTATTTTAGTAATTCTAGATGTCAAACATGAAAACATTACTCGTTGCTACTAGTCGATACCAAGTACCCAGTAATCACTAATATTATTTTCCTTAAACTGATACTTCAGAAAATAAAGTGCGCACTTAATCCTAAATTATAGAGATGTATTTATCTCCTAAGACGTTTTAGGATACCATTAAACCTGGACGTATGCTAGACAAAGTAATAATAATAATAATAAAAGGCTTAGCGAACCCGAAGGCTCGATGCCGACACCACCAATCGCTTATTACACACTTCTCTCCACCGTTCGCCGTCCAACCCAGTCCCTTCAGATCGGCTTTAATGCAATCTTCCCACCTTCGCTCCGGTCTACCCCTCGGACGCTTACTATTCGGCACAGCAAATATTAACCTTTTTGGAATTCTCTCGTTACTAAGTCCAACAACTTTACAAGCCCATTTGATTCGCAGCGATGAAATTACCTCAATTATATTACCCGAATCAGTTCACACAATTCGGCGTTGTGTAACCGTCTGAACTCTCTTGTCTGAACCGTCTGAACTCATCCTTCTTCGGTCCGAATATTCTACGCAATACTTCATTTTCAAAAACCTTAAGACGCTGCTCATCCCTTAATGTAAGCGGCCAAGTTTCGCATCCATAAAGAACTGTAGGCAAGATAATTGTTTTATAAATTCTAATTTTTAAGTTCCGGGACAAGAAGCGCGAACTAAGTAGTTTTATCGCAGAAAAATAACAAGCATTTCCCGCCTTCAGTCTAACCTTAATCTCTTCTTCAATTTCGTTTTTTTTAGTTATCGTAGAACCTCGACAAAGAAATGCTAGACAAAGTAAACGTGAAGTATTTCGAAGAACTTACAGTTTTAATTTGTTCTGAGCTAGATTCGATTTCTGGCTCAGAGTGGGTGTTAGCCGATCCTAATATTCTACTTTAAACATTTTCAACTTTAATTTTTGACACCATTTTAATTTTCTCAAGTAAAAAAGTATAATTCCCATAGTTATGATCTATTGTTTATTTTACATTGCACTTCTGACATCTTTGCTGGTTTTCTTTAGTTATGATGTGGAGATGTGCAAGTTTCGTCTCATTATGTGCCCTCAATTACCACTTCATCTTTACTTCAGCTGGACTTTCATCTTTATGATCTTCAGTTTATTTGTAAGGCTTTTTTGCAGTAATGTGTACTCCTTTTGTGGACCGTGCAAGTTCGGGCGCTCAAGGAAGATTTATATCTCTGGAAGAAATATTTTCAGGCGACCAGACAAAATTTATCCATGTTCTAATATTAAGCATTATTTTCATGTCATTGCCAGTCAAAGAGTCTGATATCTCTTTAACATTAACAACCGGGGATTTCAAGGCGTATCGGTGAGCCATAGCGATAGAGTTAATCTGTGCAGAGATTAACTTTTCTTTGCCTACACTTCAAAGATGATGTAATTTTTTTTAGATAAATTGGTGATTATAGTTGGTAATCGGGGAGGGAGAGTATCATTTTGTGGTATTTGTTTCTTTAAACTGCTGGAATGTATAATTTGGGTCCTATATTAGTTCAAGTTTTTTTTTTTTATTGCGTCCTGATTTGCTTTATTGTTAGTTCACGGTTAGTTGGTAGTACTTGGGGGTACAAGTTAGGAGATACATTTTGTTTTTCCCTACTTACAAAATATTTATACTTACTCGTGTGTATATATATTGAATGGTAATATCGGAATCTTTTCATTTGTGTATATATTTTTGAATAATTTGAACTAATGACAAAGTTACAAGGAAAAAACAAAAATACATATTTGTACAATTCAGTGCCGCATGAGTTCGTCCTCGTGCTGTCAAAAAATTGCGATCTTACTTTATTGATTGCAACAGACATTATTTATACTGATGACAAATTAAAATCCTTTTTTGTTGAAATTGCGTTAAAACTTTTGATAGTAAAATTCATTCGGGGTGTTTGTTTTGTGAATATAGCTGAATTCAGCTCTGAAGTTTACTGTTTATTGGAGAATATTAATTTTCTAAAGTTTCGACTATTTTTGTTAGGTCAGTTAAAATTTCATTATCGTGCTGGATCGTTGAAACACTCACGTTTTTGAACGTTTGATTTGCAATCACTTTACTCTACATTTCTTTTAGTATACTGCAGTTATTGTTAGAGCTAACGTAATTAGTCCATAAATTTACTTTGTTATCCTCAACACTATCTTCAATAAACATTATTTTCCTAATTTATTTAAATATTGTGATGATTTTTTAAAATTATTGTGATGCAATAGTAATGGTATTCATACATTCCATCTAGAATTGTGTGTGAAATGTCTTGCGGAATTATTGAATAATAATCGATGTTGCTTTTAACGAAACATTTTTCAATTAGTTCGTTCCGATCAATGGAACGTTGTAGTGACTGGAAAGTGATAAGTTGATGGATGATTGGGCATCTGTACAAGATATCCTTTGAACTCCAATGAACTCTGTGAAAAGTGTTAACATCCATGTATGTTTATATCTGTAATGTATATAGCATTTCCAAGTCAATTTCAACCTTTTCCAAATCAAATTCAACCTTTTCCAAGTCAAATTAAACCTTTTCCATTTCAAATTCAACCTTTTCCAAGTCAAATTCAACCTTTTCCATTTCAAAATCAACTTTAGAATTTTTGTCAATTTTCGATTTTTTTCGAAATGAAGGCCACTTACTATATTATCGACGGCATAGCTTTTAAAAAATACAAAAAAAAAAATTGATTACGCAGTTGAATATCCATTTATTTTAACATTTTAGATTTTTTCAGTGTGATATTTCTATATGATATTCAATTATTTCCAAGTCAAATTCAACCTTTTCCAAGTCAAATTCAACCTTTTCCAGATCAAATCAAACTTTTTCCAAGTCAATTCAACCATTTCCATTTCAAATTAAACCTTTTCCAATTCAAATTCAATCGTTTTCATTTCAAATTAATGTTTTAAGTTTTTGTAAATTATATATATTTTTTTTAAATAATGGCCATCTCCTCCCCCCCTCCAATATGAAAGTCTATTATTATGCTCTCTTAAGTAGAATTTTCACTTACGGATATCGATTTATTGTACCTATTCGGATTTCTTAGGGACTAGTATTATGCTGTCCTGTACCTAGTTTTGAAAATAACCTCCATTTTAAGATTACGTGACTGCGTTTCGAATCATTTAAGTTTTTTTGACAAATTCGATATGTGGGTGTATTTTTATGTTTCCCGATCAGTAAATTTTGAAAATGACATCTATTTTATGTTTACGCCACTGTGTTTTGACTTATTTAAGTTTTTAGAATTTATCCAATATAAAGGTCTACTTTTATGTTTCCGGAGCCGTAGATTTTGAAAACGTCCTTCATTTTAAGATTAGGCCACCGCGTTTCGACTTATTTGAGTTTTTCGGATATTTTTCATATGAGGGTGTATTTTTATGTTTCCGGAGCTGTAGATTTTGAAAATGACCTCCATTTTAAGATTAGGCCACCGCGTTTCGACTTATTTGAGTTTTTCGGATTTTTTTCATATGAGGATGTATTCTTATGTTTCCGGAGCCGTAGATTTTGAAAACGACCTCCATTTTATGATTAGGCCACCGCATTTCAATTTCTTTGAGTTTTTCGGATTTTTTTCATATGAGGATGTATTCTTATGTTTCCGCAGTCGTAGATTTTGAAAATGACCTCCATTTGAAGATTACGCCACTGCGTTTCGGCTTATTCAAGTTTTCGAAATTTATCCAATTTAAAGGTCTACTTTTATGATGCCGGAGCCTTAGTTTTTAAAACGACTTACATTTTAAGATTAGGCCACTGTTTTTCGGTTTTGTTAAGTGTTTTTGATTTTTCCTTCGAATAAAAAACATAATACGAAGGATTAATTAATTTTTTAATAAATAAATAAAAATATCTAATCAAAATAAATAAAATATGTATTGTCTCATTTTTAATTTAATTTTAGTTATCTTTTTTAATGTTGTGGTCTCCTGTAACAAAATTATAAGATTTCGAACAATTAGCTGAAAAATCTAAATACGGAAGGTTAAATTTATTACCAGTTGCTTTTCGGCTTTTTAGTTTGTATTCTGTGGTTAATTTTACTTTAGCTTCATAATATTTATTTATTTATTCATACTCGAAAACATATTGATGAAACTTTGTATTGAAAAAATCCAAAATGAAGCCTAATTAATCAAGATGCAGCGGCTTAATCATAAAATGGAGCTTAAATATTAGATAAATTTAAATATTAAAGATTAGAAAAAATTCAATACGTCTCGGATAACATATAAGTAGATCCTTATACCGAAAAAGTAAAAAAAAAAAACTTTTATAATCCAAAACAGTGGCATAAACTTTAAATTGGGTCATTTACTAAATGGGGGAAATCTACTGCTCCAGAAACATAAAATTAGACC